GGGCCGGTGGGGCCCCGCCGCCCCCGTCCTCTGGGCAGCCCGCCGCTGCTCCCTGTGGACCCCCCCCGCTCAGACCGGCGTCTCCGAGCTGCTGGGGGACGGGCGCGGGGACGGGGCCCTGGCCGCCTCCTGCGCCCAGGCGCCCGCTCACTGCCAGCGGCTGAGTGCCGGGGACCCCGGGCGAAGTCAGGCAAGGGTGGGTGGGCTTCCAGGCCCAGGTGTGGGCGGCACGTTTTCCCAGGGCTGGCCTGGCTGCGGGGGGTGGGCTCGGGGCCCAAGAACAGGCCCAGCAGCTGGGCTGGTGAGGGTGGAATTCGAGGCGGTTTTGCCTGCGCTTTGGCTCCAGGACGCGGATTCCTGGAACCATGCTCAGCTTCGAGGCCGGGGGAGGGCAGAGGCATTCGGTCTGGCCAGCCCGTGGACCCCAGGCTGGCGGGCAGAGGCAGCTCAAGCTCTTGGTGCCCCCACCCCTCTGCCTGCCAGGCACTCTGGAGAGGAGGGGGTCCTTCCTCCCACAGGGCCCCCGTGAGGCCTGGGTGGCCCTGAGTAGAACCCTTCTGGGAAAGGGCAGTCTGTCCCTTCCCCCATGCCTCAGGGCTAGGAGGGGGCGGTGGGGCCCAGCAGGCCCACTCTGGGACCAGACCTTGGGCCAGACAGGGGTTCCCGGGAGACAAGCTGCTGAAAATAGGCCTTGGGAATGTCTGCCTGTCCCTCACTCAGCCAGGCCGGGGGGCGGGGCAGGCAGGCTGGAGCCTAGGAGGGAACCCTCTGGTCTCTAGGCTCAGCAGTTGTCCTGGAGGGCGTGTTGAGTGCTCTGGGCACCTGTGTGCCGGAGCAGCGGACAGGAACCTAGCCAGCCTCCAGAGGGGACATTCTTACACCTGACCATGCTCCTCAGCTCATTGGTGCTGAGCAGCAGACCTGGAGGCCAGGGCAGGGTGGCTGGGTGTGGCTCCAGGGGAGAGGCCAGAGCAGGCGCCACCGTCTTCAGAGGGAGCCCCAGGGAGCAGAACTTTCCCTGGTGGGGGTGGGTGGCCCCTGTGTGGATTCCTCTGAGGTCACTGGGGCCCAGCCCTGCCACTGCCCCCATGCATATGGGCGTCTCAGAATTCTGTGAGGCAGGATCCTGCCTGGTTCGCCTCTGCATCCCCACAGAGGGAAGGGTGAGCAGGTGGAAACAGCCTTGGCTCTGCACCCAGGACCCTGCGTCGGCCTCCCCCAGGTCTTAGGGCCCTAGGTGCCCTCATGGTGTGCTGGTGCAAGGTGGGATGTTCTGGGCACAGAAGCAGCCCGGGGCAAGCAGCTGGGGTGCTTTGTGTCTTGTCCTGGCCACTCTGTCCTTCACGCTGCAGACAAGGCCCCCAGGGCCTGCTGGCCGGTGCTGGCGGCACTGGGGGGCAAGGTTGGGGGCTGCATTTCGGGGTATATGAGGGAGCTCAGTGTGTCTTCCACTTGTTCTTGCAACAAGTGCCAACAGCACCCCAAAAGAGTGGTGTCAGGGGTGGAGGGCCTGGCAAGGTCCTCAACTGGCCAGGTGGTCCTGAGTCAGGTGGATCTTAGGCCAGGTGCGCTGATGGAAGTAGGAGGCCTTGCACCTAGTGGGGCCCAGGTCTTGGGAATGCTGTGGGGGGCCAAGCCTCAGATGGGGCGCCTGGACATAGGGTCTGGGGGAAGCAGGAGCTGTCCACTGGGAGCTGCAGTTGATATGGGGTCCCAACTCCTTGGGCAGGCTGGATGGATTGGGGGCTCAGGGGAGTAGGGCACATCAGTCTGTGGCTGAAGCTTTGGGAGGGTTTGTGTGTGTGTTCCTGAGAGTGTGTGTGTATGAACTGAGTATCTGGAAAAACTGCTGTGTACCAACCAGAGGGCAAGGCCCGTGGCCCTTGCCCCCCCTTGGCATCCTCCCCCTTCCCTGCCCTGTAACCATGGCAACGGGCAATAACAGCAGAGAAAGCTAGGAAGGACTCATTACCCGGGTTTTCAAGGGGGGGCTCCCCCACGGGGTGAGGTTGGAGTCACAGTGGGGGGAGGGTGGGGAGAGGGGAGGACAGATGCTGGCTCACTGTCTCCCCTCCCCCCCGAGCGCTGGCGTGGGCTGGGGGTGTGCACTGGACAGAAGCATGGGAAGCCGAGTGCTCTGAGAGTAACCTTGTGCATATCCCGAGATGCCCAGATGGCTGCCCCCCCCCACAGGTATGCCCACAGGCAAGGAGACACACACAGGTGTGCAAGTCCAGGCACCCTGTCGCTGGCTGACCCCTCTGGAGGCAGCCCCACCCTGGCGCCTGAGGCCTCTGCCCAGCACACCCAGGAGAGGCAGCCTTCCCCAGAATTGCAGGTGGTGTGTGCAGCGTGTGTGGCCTGGTGACAGATGCCCCACCTCCCCTGACTGCCCTGGGCCCTGCCCTGCCCCCCATCACCACTGGTCTCCTCCCCTCTCCTGTTCTCTCTCTGGATCATTCCAGCCAGGAGATGAGGGAAGTCAGGACCCACCCTACTGCTCTGGGGCAGCTGCATCTGGTGAAGGCCAGAGAGACACCCAGGGCAGTGGGGGCTCGTGGGCTGTCGGGCTGGTGGCCTTCGCTCCAGAAACCACAGTGAGGTGCCCAAGTGCCAGCAGATAGGGCAGGAGCCCTGATGGCATGGGAGCAGACCCGTGTGGGTGGGTGGGAGACTAGGGGTTCTACCAGTGCAGAGCATGCACCCCACTCTCATGGGCAGTGGGTGGCCAGCCACTGAGGGGTCCCAGGACCCTGGGCTGGCAGAGGCCCAGTGGGGGCAGAACTGTGGTCTCAGAGTGGGGGTCCCAGGGAGGAGGGAGCCACCAGAGAGAGGTGTGGGGAGCAGGCCACGGGGGTGTGGGGTCTAGTGTGACACCCTCACAGACAGAAGACTCTAGGGTCACCCTTGAACCCTGGGAGCTCTCACCCTTGCCACAAGCTGACCTCCTGGGGTCTGGGGGTGTTGAAATGGAGGCACCCATGGCTTCCCTCTGTATTCCAGGACCAGGCTGCAGGGCTTGGGGGCGGGCAGGTGGGCTTCAGGGAGGGTGAAGTAGGGGTCACTGAGTGCTGCCAGGGCCGAGCGTCTGCGTGGGGAGGCCAGGAGCTCCTGAGCTCTGTGGGAGGATGGTCTCCAGTAGGCTCCACGGGGATGGGGCGTGGACAGGCCCAGAGATGATGTGTTTTTTGGGATGGGTGTGTTGAGGGGAGATGACGCTAGTGGTGGCTGAAGGGAGGAACCCTGGACAGAGGGGAGGAAAGCTGGGGGCAGGAGGGGGAGAGGGCTGGACGCTTTGGTGCTGGGGAAGCCAAGAAGCTGGGTGTGGCATGGGGGCTCTTGGGAGCTGAGATGGGACAGTCTCTTCCCCCAGCAGAGAGGGAGGGGCCTGCGTGACAGACCAGGAGGGAGGAGGGATAGGCCAGACCTTGCCCTTCAGGGCAGGGATTTTCAGGTGGGGGGTCCTGCTGTCTCCTGCCTGCACCCTCCTGCCTGCGGTGGAAGGATGGCCTGAAACCCAGTGCCAAACCCCTGGACCCACCCCATTCCTGGGGCGTGTGGGTCCCAAGGTCTCTGCCTGGCACCGGGAGGCGGGGGCCAGCTGATGTCCAGGGCAGCGAACTTGGACCACACCCGCCCCTAGGCGCTTCCCCAGAGATAAGGACCCTCCCCTGCTGCGTCTGGAGACAGCCTGGGCCCTGCACCAGCCCCCAAGAGCCCTGGGCCCAGTGCTCACTGCCTCCGCATGGGAGGGGGCCTGGCCTCCAGTTCCCTCTTCCAAGTTACCCTGGGGACAGTCCCACTGTGGTGGGAAGGGTTTCCCAGGGGTGTGGGGGCTGCAGGGCTCACAGGGCTGGGATGTCCCTCAGGAGTGGGGCTGGCCGGAGCGTGGTCAAGACCGGAGGGAAATTCTTGGGAGGCTACCCTGTCAGGTGTCCCCAACCTTCCACCCCGGGGGGGGGGCCGGGTCATAGTGTTTGGGGCGGGGTCGCAAGCCCTGTGCATCTACCTGAATTTTAGGGGTGAGCCGTCCCCTCTCCCGCCTCAGCCTGTCTCCACGGGACTCTAGCAGGTGGCAGGTGCCGGGGACAAGGGCTGGGGACCGGCTGCGCCTTCCCACTCCTGGGGAGCCCCGTGGGCAGATCCTGGACCCCGAGACTCCACAGCCCTGGGCGAGGGGTGGGGCTGGAGCCCCCGGAGCAGCCCCACCCTTCAGGGGGCCCCCACGGGCCTCCTGCGCCCCCCAGCCTCTGCCTAGTGGAGGGCTAGGCCCGGGGGCTGCCCGGAGGCGGGGACCTTTCTCGACCTCATGATCTGGATGGAGCCAAGGCCCCGGGTCAAGTCCCAGAACCGGGGGCGGGGCGCGAGGGGCCGGCCTCTAGGAGGCGGGGTCCCAGGTTCCCTGAAAGGCGCGCACGGGGCGGGACCCACCCAGTCCAGCGCCCCCATCCTGCCCGCCTGGTCGTGCCCACCGCGCCCTCCGCCGCCATGCCCAAGTGCCCCAAGTGCCAGAAGGAGGTGTACTTCGGTAAGGCGCC